CTCCTCCTTCCTGCCGCGCGTCGTTATCCTCCGCCTGGAAGCCGTACCGCTCCCCACGGAGCTGCGGTGGGACAGACCGTGGGAAAACCAGCGATCCGTTCCGGCGCGAAGTTGGCTACGCCAGCCGCTATCGCCGCCGGTAACAGCTTAGGCCATCGTGATTAATGAGGAGTGGGCAGCAGTTACGAGACCTGGGAATCTTCCACTATTTTTTTCAAAAAGCAGCACATTTCCCATTCATCTTCATCTGGTCAGACCTGGTCAAACCTCTCTAACAGTAAGGGATGGTCCAACACCTTCCTGCAAAAGCCCATTAACCAAAGAACGACTCCTGCCTTGACACTTCACGTCTCTATTCCTTGGCAAGGCAAGGAGTTTCACAGTTTTCTCAGATTTAAAAAAAAAAAAACAAAAAACCAACAACAAATTACGCATCACTTCATGAGGAGAAGCCCGTTTCGGAAGCGAGGGTGAGAACACGGGCAGAGGCACTACTCTTCAGAGACAGCCCTATTTAGTTAACTTCGCTATTTTTAATTACTGCCAATTTCCTGGGCTGGTTAATGAGAAAGTGCGTGGCAGTTACATTATCTTAGACCGACCTAGGGCTCTCCTCGGCACTTCCACGCTGATGACAGCTAGTGTTCAGCAGTCTGTTGGGAGTACCTGGAAAGGGCGTGGGAGCTGTGTGGAAGAAGAGGCGCCTACTCAAGTTCCCAGGCCACGTGGATTAACTTTGGAATAATTCAGAGGTTAATTAATAGCTGGATACTACCCAGACCACAATGATTTCCTTGAATAAGGTGCATAAATCAGATAATGAAAACTTGCATAAAGTTTGCATCTTTCCTTTCAGTTGAAGGATAAAATCCCACATAGCCAGTTTTAACGCAGTACTTGGTGCTTAAGCTCAGTAACGCATTCCTGAAAAAAACAAGATAAACACACAAATGCTCAGGCTGAAACAGCAAGTCCCATAAAGCAAGAAAATGATGGGAGAGTACAAAGCATTTGAAAAGCCCACTTCTTCAAGTACAGAAGCCAAATCTATGTTCTGCGCGAGCCAGGTATTTCTGACGACACCATGGGAGCAAAAGGCATCAAGGTAAGAGAAAATTGAGCGACGGTAGCAAAACCAAGATGCATCTTATCTTACAAGCTTAAAGTTGGAGCATAAATCATGCATAAAGCTTAAGAAGCAACTGGCACGCTCGGAGTAGTACAACACAACTCCGCTTGCACTGTTTCTCATAAAAGCCGAGCGCCTAAATATAACAATCCTATCTTACAAAGGCTGAAGCGGGTCTGAGTGAGGAACGAAACCCAGGCTGGCTATCCTAGGTATGTCAGCATACCCTTTTAAATGCAAGTACACTTTATACAAGGGGAGATGCCCGTGGAATGCTACGATAAGCTGGACTGAAGTGGAAGCAGCTATACTGGTGAATGTCAAGGAAAGCCCATCTTCTTTTGGCAGTGAAAACACTGCAAAAAGTAGTTGTGGGTCAAAATAACTGCAGCTGGGGCAAAGAGTCTACTGCAGACTCAGGCTTAATCATTTGTTTCTCCACCACCACGCAGGTTTCCGTAGGGATTAAGTAAGGCAATACAATATTCCGTTGGCTAGCTTGGGGGGAAGGCTGCTCAGCACTGCCAGGGAAATGAAAGGAAGGGCAGGGAAGAGCCGGGGGCAGCGGCTTCTGCTCGGCCGCGCTGCGAGCGGGCAGGGACCGGCGGCACGCACTCCAGTTGCTAGGTAGCTTAGAGTTACAGATATGCCTCATTTGCCTGTGCAAACATACCCCGCAGGACTATATTTACAGAACGCGGCCTTTGCTTCCCATTCCTTTGAGCGATATAAAAATACTGAGAATTCTTCCTCTGGGAGCTCAGCAACAGTTGCCCTTGGGTTGCTGCTGTCGTCCCTGAAACACGGCCGTGGTGAAGCAGGCAGCTTGAGTCGGCACTCGTCCACGCAACCACTGCCTGCTGCGGTCTTACGTTAAGGGGTGGCATCTCCCACGTCAGCTTCACGAATTCAGGAGATGATAGCTTGGTCTTAATTCTGTAAAACTGGGCTAGTCCCAGGACAACAGGGCTGCCGGTTCGGGAGAGAAAATCTAACAGATCTTACCAGTCCAACATCCCAACTGCAATTCGCGGAGAAAATTGTATTCTGTGTCTAAATCAAAAGGAAGAAAAATAAAGAAACAGCTTCTCTAAGGGAAGAAAGAATCAGAATTATGCACTGCCCAAGCAATATGTATTACTAACCAGTGGTATCCGAGGGAAATTGAGATACTAGTCAAGAGCCCACAGTAGGCTGTGTTACTGGGGGGGATCCTTTGCTTTGGAGAAGGGAGTACCACGCATGACTAGAAGCAGCATACATCACTCAAACTTAGTAAGGCAGCGCTTGAACGAGTTGTTTTCCAACAAGCGTAGGAAAACACAGCACAACGATGCCGTAAGCGCACTCTGCGTGACTTTCGCCACCAGCAGACCCTCCTTCAGGCAGCTGGCAGGCACAAGGTAAAAACCTACAGAGCAGCTACAAATTATTCCATGTTCAAACCAGGGGAGGAAGATAAGCCTTTCTAGAGGGCTGCGACGTCCCCAGGACTCCCAAGCGGAGAACGGGCGCTGGTGTACGTTACCTGACCTCCCAAGAAAAGGCCACCAACTACCCTCTCGTCCTGGCAGCCAAAAGCTGTCGTTCCAGAGGTGTAAGTCATAGGCTTGCAAACACAGGCATGAAAGACTGTATAAATAAAACTCTTGTTACCACAGCAATTAACGGGTCCGTTACTTACTGCAGTTTAGGGTTTAAGTCGCAAGGATCTTTACCAATTTGACACTTGTTTTGGGCAGTGCTCGCTTTCTTAATAGCGAGCAGCTAGCCCCCAACAGAGGTTTCGTAGCTAAGGGGTCGGCATTTGCCTCTGCCATCCTTCGGCAGACACAGAGAAGGTGTGGGTGAGCAGTGCAGCTATTTTCAACAGCAACATCATAACAACTTGCTGATAGACCATCTGATTCCAAGTTCAAAAAGAACTGGGAATCTATGCAAAGCATACAGATAAAATTGGAGTTTTAACGGGTACAGCATATTACAAAGTGCGTTTAAGTCAGGATGGGAATAGGCCTTTAAGGCTGAGAAGACACGGCAAGGTCTTTACGCAGTCCTCAAAAATCTCTACAAGCCCAGGCACCGTGACATTTACAAAATCTGTTTTAACGTGTAATTTCCAAACGCCGTGAAGCTTCCAATTTTTATTTTTGTGTATGATACCAACAACTACGTGCTATTGACTCCCACTAACAAAACCGGACAGACAAAAGCTGGGAGTCACGAACATCTCTCAGCATTTGGAACAAGCCCCACGCCCGGCTCGTAAACACCTCATTACAGCCCACTCCCTGCCAGACTTGACGAGCAGACAACAGTTATGCACGGCAGCGACGAGAACAAGGGTCAGCGGTACTGGCGCGGGTGTAGACTTCAAGGGGAGTAGGAAGAGATCAAATTCTTTAACAGGACACTTCGACGGATGCTGATTTTCCTCTTGGTTCCAAGCCTACCCCAACCTTCCTGCAGAAGGCTCTGCCAGAGTGTCACCCCCCGGGGAAGGGGAAGCATTAGTCAGCCTCCCCAGAGCAGGCACCGTATATAAAAGCATATAAGCAGTGACTATAGCCAGGCAATCTGTATTTGTCTCATCTTGGGGTTTGGCAGCGGTGACTAACTGGACTGCAGGGCTGGAACTGAATTGCTGCAGAATGTCACTGAGCAAACGAGTTAAAACGGGAACAAGCTCCGGGGCCACGGCAGCGGGGAGGAGATGCACGGGGGGCCCAGGCGCTGCACCCGCTGCCGATGCTCCCGCGCCAGGTTTGCGTGTACGGATGCACGGGGGGCCCGGGCCCTCCCCCCCCTGCCGATGCTCCCGCGCCAGGTTTGCGTGTACGCTGGGACACGGAGCGCCCGGTTCCAACCTTCGGCCAGCTTGCGCCAGCGCACTTCTCTGCCGTTAAACTGCGAGGCTTGACAAACGTCATCGGTGTGACTTCAGGCCCAGCTACGTCAAAACAGCTATTTTCCCAAAACAAACTGGGAGGTTTCTAACAACCCTGCCATTCCTCCAAAAAACCAGCATGTTAACTAGAAGTATGCCTTGAACACTGCTCCCTGCCCCACCACAGTCATATTTCAGGATAAGTAATTGCTCATGAGCAAGGGCGGCTGCTAATTCCTGGAGATAGGGAAGACATATATTTTCAAATAAAAGAATACAGCTTTTAGGACTTCAGAACAATGAAAGGCAGGGCGACTGCCTAAAGTGCAGAAATGAAAAGCTTTTTCCTTCAGAACAAGAGCAGAATCGAGTAATTGTCGTTTCCAGGGAGATGGGGAACTTGAGGGATCAGAGCTCAATCTGCAGTTAAATGGATTGGAAACAACTCCCTCCCAGCCGCAGGAAAAACATGGATACAAACACAGAGGAAAATCCAGAGAGGGCATTTTCCCAGCACTGTGCACACCTCTCCATGTTCAGGAACGATGGACTGACTTTATTCAGATGGTCCAGGTTAGCTACTCACGAATGCCAAGGGAGAAGTATTTCCTATGTTATCCCTTTCCTTACACATCTCACATTCAACCTCCCTTCACAGCAAAAACTGCCAGGTATTTCAGTTTTCTCCTTTCGAGAGAGAAACCTGAGAATTCTCTCTCATGCTCCTGAAGTGCAGTTCTAAGCAGACCAGGTATACAAAAAATATCTGAAAGATCTCAAAACAAAGCTAGGCAGGCCTTTGCCTTTCCACTGTTTCACATGGGCCAAAAGACAAGAGTTCATGCTTCAATGGGATGCCAAATTCTGAGCTTCTCCCATGTAAAAGGCAAATCCCATGACTTGCATTCCTTCTAGAGGGTGTCCTGAAATCCCATCTGGGCAGAAGAGACCGACAGGCAAAGGATTTTCCAAAATAACCAATACCTTTGTGAGTGCTGTAGAGGGCTGCAAATGTCACCACGAAGAAGGTGGTGGAATATTTTCCAGCGTTAACCAGATGAAAGGCCCGTTTGTTATCACGGTAACGGCGCAGGCACTGGATGAATCGCAACCAAGCTGGGATGCACTGGACAACTGCTCTCACTCCGTAGGAGTAGCTGTAACAAATCTGATTATCTGCAAGAAAAAAAGTTTCAGGGACACAGAGTCAGCAAGTTTAAGAACTCCTATCGTCCTCCTTTCTGTAAGAGTAATATCACTTGACATGAGAGCAATTTCCCAACACCGTCTCCGTACTTAGGCACACACCCCCCCAGACCAGCGAGAAGCTCATCACCCCAGTTGTACTTCACCCCTGAAGAAAAGAGAGAAAAGAGTTTCACCCCTGAAGCCCTTTACTCCACCTCGGGAGGTATTCAGGTGACACAACATCAGTAACACATCCAGATAGATCATCATCTAACTCTTTCACTGCGCCAGCATAATTAACATGTGCAAGAAGATTAGAAATAATCTTTTTAAATGTATTTTGTGCTGTTGGCAGTACTGTGAATAATCAAATTAGGGATGGAATTACAAAAGGCCTTCGACACTGAAATTTTGTGCTTACATGGGAGAGCATTTTCAAACTCTGCAGGACAGCTGAAAAAGGCTACTTTGCCTAAGATGTCCTTGACCCACTTTTCTTGTATATTGTAATAGGAAAAAACATGTTTCAGTATGTATTTGGGGTTTTTTTGTTGGTGGTCGTTTGGTTTTGTTTGTTTGTTTCTTTCTTTGATTTTTTTTTAAAGCAACTGGGGTGAGAGGCAACTACACCAGCACGACACTGCGTCACACCCCTGATGTTCGAAAGCCGACTTTTTATTGAGGAAATGACCAGGAAAACCCCAGCTTTGCCTGGAACCCCCAAGCATGCCATATTCTTATGCTGTCTTGCTCAGCATAACTAAACCAAACACCCCACTGACTAACAAACATTTACTTCTTATTCAGACTAACGGAGACAAGTTATTAGCTGATATTTATCCCAAAGCACTGTGCTATCTTTTCACCGTTTGGATTGGAAAAGGACAAGTTGTTATCCAATCAGTTATTTTATTTATTTTATTTTTATTTTTGATAAATAAATATTTAGTTACTTGCAACACTGCCTTAAAGGGAAGCGAGAGATCAGACAGATTGGAAGAACAAAGTGAACCCTGATGCTTATTGAAGCATACTGCAAATTCTTTCAGCAAGTGTCAAAACCATCAGACAACACTATTTGCCAGCAGTCACTGCTTAAAATGGGAAGACAACAGCCCAATCCAGGAGGAGACAGGTATGATTTTGCCACTGGGAAGGCCAAAGTCAAAATTCATATGCCAACGTTGCGGCTCTTCTGGCTAGGAAGGAGAGCAGAGGCAGAGCACACACAACCCTGGCGTCACAGCATCAACTCGAATTGAATACAGCGTGGCACTAACTAAGCTCTGAGGAAGCCTCTCCATCCTCATGCTTTAGGGTACTGCGATAGAGGCTGTAAGAAGCAGGCTACAGCACAGAAAACTGTGGTTAACAAGCTCATGCAACTCATTTTCACGCTGAGCAACAACAGGCTAAAAGCAAATACATGGATAAACCACTATGAAATAAGAAAACAATTGCCAGGAAAACGGATTTCTTTCCCATCAAGAAGTGCTGTTTCTAAATTTTTTAATGAATATACACACCAGGCCAAAAAGCCGGATTAGGAAATGAACATGGATGTGAAATTCCATTTCTCCGGATGGAAGTAAGGAAGGGCAGGATCCCTCTAATGCTGTGTTTACAAGAAACACCAGTTAATTTGCAATGTCATTGGTAGCCCTCTTCAAAACAGATAGGTAGTTATGACGTTGCCTTGCTCGGTGTTTTTTCAGGGCATTTTGACCCCGTTTGCATGGGTTGCCAGCATTACTTTACCTGTATTTGCCAGAAGTCCAGCATTGTCCTCCCACTGAACCTCAAAGCTGTAGAAGCAGATCATGTATTCCAGATCCATGAGTATCACGACCAGACTGTTGAGCTGATCAGCCAGCCAGAAATCTGCGAAGCCTACTTTGTGGAAGGGAGCAGTGAACACTCGAAACTGTCGGGGAGGGGGGGGATAAAAAAAGGAGTAATTCGTGACACAGAGTCAAAGACATGTAAATGCAGCGGCAGGACATCACAGCATTGAACAAATATGGAAATAACAGAAACGCTTGAAGATTTATTGCTGACCTTTTGCTCCTGCTGACAAAAAAAAGATAACTGTCTCCTCATTTTTAGTACAAATAACATTCCTGC